CTACCCTGGCTTGAAGCTCACCATTCCCTCTCTGAACCATCATTACCAGACCCTATTCACTAACAGGAAACCATGTGCAGTATTTTCTTGGAACGTGCATTCTATTGTTTTAACATCTGTGACTTTTCACCGAAGCACACTTCTCCCTTCCTGTGACACCCCCTCACCTCCCACCTCCACCTCTTCTGCGTATGATGTTCAAATCTCTGACATCCTTCAAGACCCAGATCAATATCACCTCCCTCAAGAAACCTCCCGATTCTCACAACTCCCTTCAGACTCCAGAAGCCCTGCACTTGGGGATGTGTCTTATGTCCCACGGTGTAGGAGGCTACCTCTGTCCACGTGGCCTTATCCTCAGCACCCGGCCACACCCTTGTGACCCCCCTGAGCAGGCATCATAACCCTGCATGCGAACCGTCTCCAGAACAGCCTGAGTGCACAGACGCCAGCTCACAGAACACAGCTTCACGGGTGAGGTTCTTACCCACCCTTCACACATGGCCCTCCATGGACAGCCCCTAAAACCAAGCTGCCCAAATGCTTGGCCTTGCTACAGACATGTTAGCTCAGTTCTCAGGTCCTTGCTTCAGCTGCCCCCTCGGCCTGAAAGGCCCTTTCCTCATCGTCTCTTCCTGGCTGCCCCCCAGCAAGGCTCAGCGCTGCCTCTTCCAGGAAGCCCGCTCTGCATGCTCCAGCAGCCCCTCACTAGGTCTGCCTCTTTGTCTTGTCCTCTAGCCTACTGGGAGACAGGCTTAGAGCTTTCTGGATGCCCCTGGGGGCTCCGCAAATAGCAACGTGGGCACAGATCACCTGGGATCCTGTGATAGGAAATTCTGATCAGGGTGGGCCCAAGGCTTCGCAGAAGCCTGAGATGCTGAGTGATGCCAACACTGTGGGTCTGCAGGCCTCCAGGGCAGGGCCCCAGAACAGCATTTCTCTGCCCTGGGTGTACCTGACAACAATCCTTGCTGCTGAAGCACGACCACGCTTGGGCCCACCTGGTGCCAGTCAACGGAAACATCTAGGACTGGGCCCGGGAGCCGACGCTTTGTCAGCTTCTCCGGGTGACGCCCGTGTGCAGACACGGCTGAGAACCAAGCCCTGGCCCGTTTCTGAGCACCTCCCCATTGTCACTCAGCCCCTCATAAACAAACACCCCCACTTCAGGGAAAACCTCGAGTGATGGTGGACAAGCATCTCCAGCCGCGCACGACATGACCGGCGACAGGCAGACGAGAGCGAGTGCAGCCGTGCCCACCTGCCTCCTCTGCACCCCTTTCTCCCAGGTGTGCACCCCCTTCTCCCGGCATCCTCGACCCGCCTGGCCCAGCCTGGGGCTCCTGCCCACCGTCACCGGCCACCTGGGGCAAAGGGCTCATTCTCGGTCCACCTGCCAGGCCAGGCTCCAGGGTCTCCCTGGACACCAACTGACCAACTTGGGTTTGGTGAAATCCTCCAGTCTTGGACTCTGAGGTTTACTTTGCTTTAATTTTATTATTTTATTAAATTACATATTTGCTTTGTGTTAGCTGCTCAGTCGTGCCCAACTCTTTGCAAGCCCATGGACTGTAGCCCGCCAGGTTCCCCTGTCCATGGGATTCTCCAGGCAAGAATCCTAGAGTGGGTTGCCATTTCCTCCTTCAGGGGGTCTTCCGAACCCAGGAATCAAACCCAGGTCAGGTTGCAGGCAGATTCTTTTACCACTGAACCATGATGGAGGCTATAAACTATAAGCTTCTATCTATTAATTACGCGTTACACCATTCTGTTACTACTTTAATGTTTCTTCTTCACGGTGAAAGTTACGGTGAAGAAGGGTCAGACACCTGGGTTTGGAAGGGTTCGCGGCACTTGCGAGCTGGCCTCCACACAGCGCAGAGTCAGCCGTGCTGGGCTGCGCTTCCAGCTTCCTGGGGACCAGCCCACCCCTCCTGTGGGAAGCGTGTGGTTGGGGTGTCGGCTGGCGAGCAGCGCTGGGGGGCGGCTGCGGCTGGGAACAGTCCAGCCGCGAGGGGGAGCAATGCTGGCCGCAGCCGTCGCCCACCTCAGCCCCCTGGACAGGCTGGCGAGGAGCTGTGCGGCGCGGGCCCCTGCAACGTGGTCCCTGCCACCCTCCGGGAGGCAGCGGAGGGAAGGTCAATCTCCCAGGGTCGGCGAGTCAAGGTTCACAAAGACCAAACGGGAGCTTGTGAAGAGGAGTTTTCAGACCTGGGCTCAGAATTTGGGCAGGAGCACGAAGTACCGAGACAGTCACGGGAGACGTGACAAGGATTTATCTTCAGGACACTTACCAGTGATGGGAAATGCCAGGCTCTGGGCTGCTACAAAGGACCGGGTCAGATTCAGCTGCCTGCATGCCCTCTAGGTCTGCAGGCGGCTCAGGTCTCAGAGCTGAGCCCTGGGGGGCGGGGGCGGTGGCAGTTCTAACCACAGGGTCGGGCTCCCCATCTCCCCCAAGCTCACCTGGACTTCAGAAAGGCACAGTGACATCAGTCACCCGCCTCCTGGGAAGGACTGATGCCTCCTACGCCCCTAGGAGGTGGCCACGTCAGTCCCTAATGGGTGAGAAAAACAGACGCCCAGTCACAGACAGGAGTAAGCTCTGTCCCTGCGGATGTGAGCGAAAGAAGTTCACTCACCACCAAGAGAAAAGCTAGAAACATGCTAAGCCTTGAGGACAGCTGAGCTGGGAGGGCTGGGAACACCTCCCAGGGAGGGAAGGCCCACCTGTACACGCTGACTTCCCACAACAGGGAAGTGGGGACAGGACACGGCGGGGAGGCAAGGACGAAAAACCCCGGAAAGATGAGGCGTAAAGTCAGAGTCTCTGGACTCCAACCCAGGAGTTTTACAGGAAGGAAACAGGAAGATCCAACACACTCTGTAGAGAAAAGGCTCCCTCGACCCCAGACCTCGCCTAACATGGCACAGATGCAGGTTTTCTAGGCAGCCTGGCATCTGCCCTGAAAGGCTGGGCCTCTGCCCCGTCTCAGCCCGTGGGACTTGGGGAAGCCGACCCTCCGATCACTCTGTTCCCCGGGCCAAGGGCAGGTAGGGGGCCCAGCAGAGCCAGAGGGGCCCCGGGAGTCCTGCTGGGAAAGGAGCCCCTCCTCTGCCCACGTGACTGGGGGCTGCAGGGACAAGAGCCTGCAGCCACTGGGGGCCCTCCTGCCATGGGGGGCGCAGAGCAAGGAAAGAAGGGGCCAGAGACACAGGGCCAGACCGCCAGCAGCGCCACCCAGTTCAGTTCTGTGAGGAACAAGAGCCTCTTTTGACTTGAGCCAGTCTGAGAAGGGTTTCTGTCACTGGCAAGTGACAAAAATCCTAGTTAATGCTTCCCTCCCCCAAACAAAGCCCAACTATCTTCACGTTTTCCTTCTTAGTAAAGTTTAGCTTATCTCACTCAGCATGTGTTTGAACAGCCTGCCAATCTGATTTTGCAGTCGCTCACCCCATGACGTTTCTGAGGAGAACACGGGGAGACGGACCTTGGCAAGCACAGACTGACCAGTGCCACCTCTGTCCTCCCCGGTGCCCTGACCCCCCACCTGCTGGGCCCCGGGACCATCCCTCAATTCCGTACCCCCTGTGGTCCAGCCCAGGGCCTGCCCGACAGATTGCTCCCTCCTCACGATGGTAACAAGTGCCCTGGCCAAAGGCTGGCTGAGGCAGGTCCTCCAGATGGTGAAGAATCGGTGAGGCTGGCCCCAGGCTCCAGTGTGGATGCCCAGCTTACACTGGCCGGAAAGAAAGCTGCTTCCAGATGCACAGCAAAGCAGCCGGGTCACTCTGATATTCAGAGTGAGGGTAAGATCGGGAGACCCACAGGCAGCCCCCAGCGCGTGCCGAAGCGGGCTGGGCTCCGACCTGGCCGCGTGCCCCAGCCGGGAGGTGGACCTCGGTCCCCTCCTCCCTCCTCCAGGTCTAACTTCCCATCTGCTGACAATGATGGCTCTGAAGACCAGGCCTCCTGGGATCAGCCAGGGCCCAGGCTCCAAAGCTCACCCACACCCATGACTGACTCACACTCACAGCAACCAGGAGTGAGAGGGCATTGAGTCCCCTTTACACGGCTTGGTGGGTATGGCACAGGCCCCACACCAGCCTGGATGCTAGCTTCTAGACCCTTCCCTCACATGCAAAAGGGGTGCATGGTGTCCACCACCTGAGGGGTGACACAGGCAGTGAGCTGCCTCAAAGGACTTAGCACTGTGTCAGGCAGGCAGGAAGGGCTCAGTACCCATAGTCATCTCACAAGTGGGGAGCTGGGTTCCTAAAAGTCCTTCCCCTGTAAGCGTCTGCGATCTGGGCCCCCCGGTACAGTCCTCATTGGCTAGGAAAGCTGCAAGCGGTGGGAGGTGCCACCTTGGCCAGTGATGGCCCATCCCTGGGGGCAGGAGGTGGGTGTGGAGGGCAAGCACCACTCTGTCACACCAGGGACACGCGGCCACAACTTCCGCCCCTCTGAGGGCTCCATGACTGTTTGATCTGGGTTGACTGAAATCAAGTCAACATCTTAATAAACAAAGCCAGGCACCTGGAGCTCCCTGCTGATCTTCAGGCAGAGACGAGGGTCTTCAAGGCTGAACCCCTGGACACAGAGTCAGAGCCCCAGGATTTGAAGCAACAGCACGACAGGCAGACGGACTCAGACTTTCTGGGTCCGAGTCCTGGTCCTGTCCTTCCTAGGTGTGTGGCTAACACAGTGCCTAATCCCGAGGATCCAGGGAGCGGGTGTGTGTACAGCTCTTCACTGGTGCCCTGGACACGCGAAGGGCAGACAAGGGGGCAAAACTCAGCTACTCCCAGCACCAGGGGGTGCCCGCTCTGTGATCTGAGTGGGCCCTGCCCCCTCCGCGCTCTGGCCCTCGACACCTGCCTTGGCCACCCTGGGGGCTGCTCCCAGCTGTGACAAAGCCACGGCCACTGTGCGGAGCCTGCAGGGCCTTTAAAGGGCTGCTGGCTCCGGCTCGGCGGGCTCAGCACAACACCCTTACCTGTAGGTTGCCACCTCCAGGCTGAGGCCAGTCTTCACCTGCACGAGCTCCTGGTAGTCCCGCAGCCGGTCAGCCATGGCCAAGGTGAGGGCTGCCTTCTCATCCTCCAGGTAGGCGATCTCTCTCTAAAGAGAACAGAAGGTTTAGGGGTCAGGGGGCTGGAGCTCTGCGGGGTCCAACTCAGCAGCTCAGGACACAGAAAGAGATGAAAAATTTCCAGATTTATTAAAAACACCATCACTGCAGGGACAATTTTTAAATACTGTATTTCTCCCACCTGGAAAGGTTTGTTTTTTTTTTTAGTCACATAAGAAAGATGTAGCTAACACAGAGAATTTTCTGTTCATACTCCCTAATAATAATGAAAGCTTGTAAAGCATTTCTACACCTTAGACATCAGTCAGCACAGGTAAGTAAACACATTGACACTGGCGAAGTAACGTGCTATTTAAAATAAGCCAAGACTAGAAAGCAGGGATTTTACTATATTTAAAACAGAAGTCACTCAGATCTGAAATAGAATTTCCCCCACACTCACAATTTCCCCAGTTGTATAAGCTGATACAGACCTCTTTGCTTTACCTAGACAAGCTATTTTAAAATCATCTGGGAGAAAAGTTACATTAATGAGACAAGAAAATATTCAGGGCATAAATGTCAAAAGTCAGACCTGGATATAAACCTTTATGACTGTTCTCATAGCACATGGTTAATAAGAGCTCCCGGGCACGTGTTCACGTCGCCCTCATGGCAGTTCCGCTCCCGCAGGGTTAACTGCATCTGTCCATGCCCCGAGGCTGGGAGATATCGAAGAGCACTGCCTGCAGCCTCCTGCACTCCCCACTCCCCTGCCTCCCCCCATCCCCACCCCGTCTCTAGAAAAATGTCCTTTACATACGAGTCATACAACACACAACTGGTGAACTGGATTTAAAATGAAATGACCACGGTAATATTACCTTCCTCAAAATATCCCAGTTTAAATCAACAATATATTTTAATAAACACAATGGTTTCATTTATACCATTTCACAGTTCTGCGCTACTCTGCATTAACAGTCTTACATAGCATTTTATAGCTATGCTGGAGAATAATCAGCTGAACAAATATTTAGAACTTTGAGTAAGTCCACATACTTTAACTTCTGGTTTGCAATTATTTCTGAATACAATTAACTAAAAAGCTTACATTCTTAGACAATTATCTTTGTGGATTTTAAAATTGTAAGACTACTGGGAGAAGGAAATCTATTTTCATTTATCACATAATCCCTCCATCAAAGGCACCTGGCAATATGCTGACCGTCCAAAATCAATAGTGTCTATGAAACTAAGGAATGAATGCAACTAAGGTCTCACACTGGATTTACCACCTAAAAAGAAGCATGATCAGCATGTAAATAATTCTGCTTCTCATAGCAGTTCTATACATCTAAACTATTAGTTACTGTTATGCTCTTTTTGTCTACATAAAGTACGCTAAAAACAAAAACTGAAGCTACTTCGCTTTTAAAGTGAAGGAGTAGTTTTAAAGCAAAGCAGTAAATTTAAAAAGCGCTAGGTACTATCCGAGGAGAAGGCAATGGCACCCCACCCCAGTGCTCTTGCCTGGAAAATCCCATGGACGGGGGAGCCTGGTAGGCTGCAGTCCATGGGGTCACACAGAGTCGGACACGACTGAGCGACTTCACTTTCACTTTTCACTTTCATGCATTGGAGAAGGAAATGGCAACCCACTCCAGTATTCTTGCCTGGAGAATCCCAGGGATGGCAGAGCCTGGTGGGCTGCCATCTATGGGGTCACACAGAGTCGGACACAACTGAAGCGACTTAGCAGCAGCAGCAGGTAGTATCTGAGGGTGAATAAGTGTAAACACCCTCCAAAACTGGCATTACAAATAAAGAGGTTTATCAAAGCAGACCATTGGCCAGTCTTGATTTAATTGACAGCTACCAGAATTTGGTCATGCATGACATTCACATATTCTGTAGTTAAGTCTTAGTGTTAAAACCCTATGTTTCCCCATTTTAGAGGAAGTATAAACTCAGGTACAAGGTTACAGTATGAAATGTCTAAACGTAGCATATGAATCCTTCCTACTAGAGGAAATTCTACTTAAATATTAAAATTTGATGACATACAGTAATGTCTTTTTTGCAGAGAAGTTCAGTTATTGCTAAAATGCTTAGGAAAAGAACCAGACATATTCAATTCTCTAACCACAAACCTCCTAGGCAAGTCAAGATCTCCCAGTCATTCCAAGGAGGTAGCACAAAGATTCTGGGGCCCAGAGCAGTTCTGTAACCACAAAACAAGAAGAGGAAAATCAAACTGTGTCTAAGTTACAATAAGAGCAGTTCCAATCACATTCCCACATGAGTCAAGTCTTTCGAAACCGTCAAAGGAAAACTCATTGACTTTTGGAAGCAGGAACATAAGAATTACTGGCTCCCAGCAGTCTCCACAGGAATTGTAACCCATCCTGCTGGTTGAATAAAGCGTCAGACTTGGCCTCCAGTTCTCCAGAAGTTTTCAGACCCTGGGCCAGGCCAAGGCACTTGAGCCTGACACACAGCAGCGGATTCTAACCCAGGCAGAGCAGTTTTGCCGAGTGATACAAGAGCTGGGGAAAAAGGTCACCTTTTCAGTTGCTATTTTAGAGAGCTGCTGGGTGCCTCACAACGGATGATGAAATGCAAGCTACACAAGGGAAAGTATGCCACACTCAGTATCCAAAGAATTCCCTTTCTCTTAACCAAACTTGAGCGGCTCCTAGCGAAGCTCAAGAGGAAGAAGAGCTTGCAAGTGTCACCTTGAATGCTGGAGCTCAAAGGAATTTAAATACTGTGATAACCGCATTTAGGTGCAAGAACTAAAAGCAAGTGCTAATAACAATGCATCGACTGGATGCTAAGTATTTGCAGCTCTGACCCAGGCCACACTCTGAACTCCAGGCTCATCATGTTATGTTACGAGACCACGTGGCTATCTCGGAGGCATTTCAAACCCAGCTCTGCTCTCCCACCCAAGCCTGCCTTCCTGCACCAACCCCGTTCCTCCAGCATCTCTGGCCCCAAGCCCTGGAGAGGACTTGATTTCTCCCTCTCTCCCTCTATATCCAATCCATCTGCAAAGCCTATAGGCTTCAACTTCAGGGTGAAGTCTGATCTCTGCCCTTCGCTGCTGCCCATGGCCCAATCCCCCAGCACCTCCTGTCTTGATGGCAAAGTCTCCAAAAGAGATCGCCCTGCTCCCACCTGTGTGGTTGGAACTGCATTTATCTTAATTTACAGTCTGATTTTCCTCCTCTTATTTTGCGGGGTTCAGAACTGTTCCGGGGGGGAGAAAATTTTTGTGTTACCTCCTTCACATGGCTTGGAGAGCCTGACCTGCTTAGCAGATTTGCAGTTAGAGCACTGAATGTGTCTGCTATTTTTTTCTAAGCATTTTAACAATAATTAAACTTCTCTGCTATAGTACATGGGGTCACAAAGAGTTGGACACGACCGATGCGACTTAGCACGCACAAACTTCTTTGCAAAGAAGTCATGTGCAACACAGAAGCCAAGGAGACTCCATGAAGACACAGGTCACCACTTCTCTCTGCAGAGCCCTCCAGCGGCTTTTCGCACGCTCAGAGCAAAGGCCAGGTCCTGCCGTCACCCCCTCACCCTCACCCACACGCCCCAGTCACATCCGCCCCTTAAAACCGCACTGTTTCCACCTCCAACCTCTGAGGTCAAGGACTTGTCCGTTGTGTCTGTTATGTTCCCTGCTGTACCCCCAGGACTTTAGAGGCCAGCTTGGTACACTAAGTGCTCAATGTGGGCTTCTTTCATCACCCGCAGCTCACAGATGGGGAAACGGAGACACAAACAGTGGCAGAGCCAGAAATGAGACCCAAGCAGGGCAGCTAAACTGACTCCATTACAATTGAAAGACAGTTCTCAGTCATTCACACCTCGGTGGTTGTGTAAGCTGTCCAGGGCCAGCCTCAAGGCTAAAAGCACACTTTTATATGTGTTTATGGGTAAGACTGGTGTAAATCATAAACATCTTCGAGTTTTTGCCTGAAGTCCCTTCCTGCAGACTGGGAGGCAGGGTTCAAGTGATCTGTGCTCAGTCGCTCAGTTGTGACCAACTCTTTGCGGTCCCGTGGACTATAGCCTGCCAGGCTCCTCTGTCCATGGAATTTTCCAGGCAAGAATACTGGAAGGGGTTGCCATTTCCTTCTCCGAGGGATCTTCCCAACCCAGGATCAAACCCGCATATCTTACATCTCCTGCGTTGGCAGGCAGATTCTTTACCACCATGCCACCTGGGAAGTTTCAAGAAATTTGAACTATGCAAAAATGCTGGGGACTTGGATATCAGTTCATCAAACTTCTATGACAAACCTGAGGCAAGGGGCCCACCAGACAGGCCTAAGGCAGGCAGGCTATCTGGGAAGGCCCACTTTCCCCAGAGAGCCCTGGCAAGCAGATTCCCCGTCAAGCTGCAGACGCAGCCCAGAGCCTGGATACTGTGTGGGGGTTCCTGCCTCCAAACAGGGGTTTCCATTAAACCATACGGGAAACAGAAGGCAGTAAATGAATGACTTAACTCTAAAACTATTCTGACAACAGCCAGCTGGAAGAGTCTGAAAGCATTTTAGAATTTTAGATTAACAGGCACCTCTTGCTAGTCCTTATGAAGAACAGGGGTCATCATTCTATGAAAGCAAAACAAATACTGGTTTAAAGTCCATCTTTAACAGAACAGATAGAAGAGAGGGAACACTACCCAGTGGTTAGCTGCTCAAGCAATGAAGCCTCAATCAAACCCAGGCTTAGCTACTTACTAACTGGGTGACCTACAGGCCTCAGTTTCATCATCTGCAAGATGGGGCAAATACTGGTACCCACTTTCTAAGACTGGCATGAGGACTGAGGGTGAATACACATGTGATCGGCTTCATACCTGTGGTACCTGGCATACAAGAAGCTAATTCTTAGTAATGAAACTTTTACTACAGTAAATTAGTTAAATCAGGTCTTATATTTTCAGTCTCCCCAGGGTAGCTTCTTTAGATTTGAAAACGTCAGGAACTTGGGGTTAAATCATCAGTACTCAGTCTTAAACAAAATTTCTAGCATTTCTACACTCCTTAAAAATAAAACACTAATGCTTGGTGTTGAGTTTTTTGGAATGCAACTTGAAATATGGTTGCTTTAAGCTAACTGATGAAAGCTTCAGGGGATGGATAAGGAAATACAGAGTGCAATAGAACCTGTAAGTCCTTATCAACGTTTTCCTTGATCTTTATTTGCTTTTAGTGGAATGAAGCAAATTCCAGTAAGAGAGGTAGTAACCGGACAGGAGGGTGGAGTCCTGGTTCTGGGTCAGGTGTCACCCCAGGAAAAGGCCCTGGAGTCCCAGTGCCAAAGAAGGTAATCTGAACTGCATGTCAGATGCCCACATCTTCTGGAATCAGAGGAAATCCACTTCTATCTGTTTCACATCTGGGGTGCACTTAAGGAGTTAACAGGGACTGAAAGGGTTCTGCTGCTAAAAGGAACACTGAAACCAGAGCTTCCAGGTACAAAATGAGCCCAGTGGGCTATGACTGCAAATGAATGGTGAGGATTGAGCCCACGAAACACGCCTCAAAGAAGGCTTTCCCAAACCTGCTTGCACAGCAGGGACCCTTGACGTGTAGCAGGGGCTCCCTACAAAGGGGTTCAGTGGGCAGGGAGCTTGGCAGACACTTCCCTTTGGTTAAAAGCTCCGTGAGAGCCTACATTAAAGACACTTTCTAGCTTTCGCTCAACACAGAACATAGGGCCCTCTGGAACTGGTGTCCCTGGCCACCACCATTGGAAAGGGAAGGGCTGTGAGTGCAGGGTAGGTTCTGGAAACCAGCAGACACTTCGCTAGTCCCTGTCCTCACCCCAGGCACAACCCTGGCTCTTGAAAATCAGGAGGCAAAGGCCAAAAAACCCCACAATTCAGAAGATGAAGTTCCAAACAACTGAGTACGGTTTCACTTCATGATTTGCCATCCAGACTCCAGTTCTTTGAGGGAAGCCCCGGGGCAGTGCTAAGGGCAGGCGCAATCAACGGATACCTGCAGATTAACTGTGAACACCGATGACGTCACCACAGGCCCCCAGCAACAGCCGTATTTCCTTTACTTGTTTTCAAAAAGGCACAAAATCCCTCCAAGACAAATTGTTAACCTGAAGCTGTAAACAGTTTCCTTTCAAATATTTTTGAATTTGTGTAAATGCGGTCTTACACTGTCATCCTAGGAACTAACGACAATAGGATTTGGGAATATTTTCCAGTCTAGAGCAGTCTGGGGAGAACCAGGGCTAACCGTAGGACTGGGCTGGGTGGACAGGTTATAAAGCAGCCCCAGGTGCCACCCTGTCAGCGTGAGAAGCCTGAGCTTCGCATCTCTGGACGAGAAACTGTTTACAGTACCTGCACTTGTAATAACATCCTGCCAGAGAGCTGCCTTGCCCCAGCTTCTACCCAGAGATCTGGCATCAGCGTGTACTGTGCGGAAAACATCTCTGATCAAGTTCTTCCCTGCATTAAGACCGCTGCCCCTCCCAAGAACAAACAAGACGGCGGCCCAGAGAGCCCCGACCAGCTGCTTCCCTCGGGGAAACCATTCTGCCAAAATTAAAACCCGATTTGGAAGACAATTTACGTTTTCCCCAGAGGCGTCCTAGCGCGCAACGGTGCTGCCACTTTGAACGACTCACGATAAGGGCTTGGCATTGCCTAGAAACCTCCCAACGCTGGGGCCGAGAAGAAAGGGGATGTCACCTCTGGAAGTCACTTTTTGGGGGGCTTCCTGGCAGACTTTACAGTGAACTTAGTCCTTGAAGTACAGGAAACTGCAAAAAGAATCTGGAGCCTAGGGAGTCATTGGTCAGGATGCACCCAGGCCCGCCGAGGGCTGCGGAAACTGACAAGCAGAGCAGGACCCCGCCCCTGGGCACGAAGGGCCATCACACCGCACCCTGCGTCCAGCGCGGGCGGGAGGCCGGGATCCTGAGGCCGCGCCGCGGAGTCGGGCGGTCCCTTCGGCGCCGGGGTCCCCATGGGGCACTCCCTGGGCCGGGCCCGCCCGGCGGGGAACGCGGCGCCGTCCGGGGGCCCCCACCCGCCGGGCGCCCGGGGCCGGGGCGGGGGCGTTGCGGCTCACCGACCTGCCGCTCCTCGGCCTGCAGCTCGGACGCCTCGCGCACCCGCAGCAGCTCCTCCTCCAGCAGCGCCCGCAGCTGCTCCAGCTCGAGCGCCTCGCGCCGCAGCGCCTCCGCCTCCTGCGCGCACAGCCGCGTCTCCTCCTCGGCCTCGCGCCGGCTCTCCCGGCCGCGCCGCAGCGCCTCCTCCAGCTCGCGCACCTCGTCCTCGTACCGCTGCACGGTCTCCCTCCAGGCCTCGGCCACCAGCAGCGCGCAGTCCTCGTGCAGCTCCCGCAGGCGCGGCGGGGGCGCGGCGGGGCCGGCGACGCGGCCGCGGTAACGCAGGGTCAGGCCGGCGGCGCGCGCGCGCAGCTCCCGCACGTCGCGCTCGCGGGCCGCGTCCAGGCCGCGGCGCTCGGCCTGCAGGCGGCCCAGCAGCGCCTCGAGGGCGGCGCGCGCGGCCAGCTCCTCCTGCAGCTCGCGGCGCTGCGAGTCGAGCTCGGCGTCCAGGCGGCCGCGGGCGGCGCGCGCCTCCTCTCCCAGCAGCTGCAGCTCCCGCAGCTCGCGCCGCAGGGCGTCGCGCTCGCCCTGCGCCAGAGCCGTGGCCCAGCTCAGCTCGTCCAGCTGCCGCCGCAGGCCGCGCGCCTCCTCCGCGCAGCGGGCCTCCGCCTCGGCCCACAGCCCCTCCTGGCCGCGCCGGCCGCGCAGCTCCTCCTCCAGGAGCAGGTTCTCGCGCTCCAGCTCCCGCACCCGGCACACGTACTCATACAGCCGGGCGTTGAGCTCCTGCAGCTCGGCCTTCTCAGGACCCGTGTGCAGCCGCCAGGACAGCATCTTGCTGGGGTGCGGGGCTCCCCCGGCCGCCTGCTTCACTCCGAACCTGGTCTTGTCCCCTCCGCCGCGCCGCCCCGGCCCCGCCGCCTCTCCGGAGGCCCGCAGACTGGGGCGCGAGCCGGCGCGCCGCAGCTCCTGGTCCGCCCGGCGGGCGGGAGTGGGTGCGGCCTCCAGCCAATCAGGGCGCGGCTCGAGTGGGCACCGTGGCCGCGCGGCGCCCCCTGCCGGCATGATCGTGGCCCCGCGCAGCCATCCCACCCGGGGACAGTCCGGGGACAGTCTGCGCGGGCTCGCAGAAGGAATGCCCAGGAGATCGGGTCAGTGCAGCCTCTCAGTCGTGTCCGATTCTTGGCGACCCTGTGGACTGCAGCACGCCAGGCCTCCCTGTCCATCACTAACTCCCGGAGTTTACCCAAACTCGTGTCCATTGAGTCGGTGATGCCATCCAACCATCTCATCCTCTGTCGTCCCCTTCTCCTCCCCCCTTCAATTTTTCCCATCATCAGGGGCTTTTCAAAAAATCAGTTCTTCACATCAGGTGGACAAAGTACTGGAGTTTCAGCATCAGTCCTTCCAATGAACATTCAGGACTGATTTCCACAGGGCTCCCGGTTATGGTCCTCCAGTCACCCAGGTGCACATCGCCACCTGGCCGTTGTTTGTCAGGCTGCACGGCTTCTGTGATAACAGCACCCAGACCACTCTGGAAGTCCCACCAGTACGAGCATCTCTGCTGGGCCACACTGGGGCACTGTGGAGCGGCTCTAAGCCTGCAGCCATTGGTTCTCGTTTCTTCAACTCTCCACGTTATCAGGGCTTCTTCTATCCCACCTCTTGTGGCTTCGCAGGATAGGAGGGTCTTCTCAGGGACCGGGGGATCTCCAGCAGGATGCTTTGCTTTGATTCACCCGCTTTTCTTTGCTCCAATGCCCTTCGGGGTCTTGGATTTTGAAACTTTTCCCCTACTTACTCTTTAAATCCTCTCCCTGAGAAACATCCACTACTATAGCTGCCCAGTTTGGGGAAAGTTATGGGAAATAGCAGGTGGAAAAAATGAAGTACCGCTGGCCAATCTTTCAAAATCATACCATCCTGCGTCATAAGTAATCCTCACAAAACTGTAGCTTAGAGAAGCTGAGCGGCTTGCCTAAAGATACACAGTTTCTGCATTTGGGAATAGAAGTATTAGCAGTTGTGATCCCAGGGGCAGACTTGAGCAAGAAGGGTCCAGCCAGAAAAGAGAGGCACACTCAAAGAGAAGGGAGTGATGAGTGGGATGTAAGAAACGACTTTCAAAGGCGTGGATGTGATGGGGAAGCTCAGGAACCAGCAAGAGCAAGAAGCCATTAGCCCCCTAGAGGCAGAGGGAGGGAACTGTGGTGGCTGAGCCTAGAGGAGCAGGAGGAAAACCCAAACCTCTTCCTCCTCTCCGGTATCCTGCCAATGCCTGTCAGTGTGGAACCCAGAAGTCGTTGGGGCCTGGCAGTCGTATGTTGAGGCCAGATCCTAACAGCTTGTGAGAGCCAACTGTTAAATTATCAGGAATGTTGTGAGCCTGTTGTTAAAAGCTATTGTTAGGAAATAATTCCAGTAGTCATGTACAGATGTGAGAGCTGGACCATAAAGATGGCTGAGCGCCAAAGAATTGATGATTTTGTACTGTGGCGTTGGAGAAGACTCTTGAGAGTCCCTTGGACAGCACGGAGATCAAACCAGTCCATCCTAAAGGAAATCAGTCCTGAATATTCATTGGAAGGACTGATGGTGAAGCTGAAGCTCCAATACTTTGGCTACCTGATGGGAAGAGTTGACTCACTGGAAAAGACCCTGATACTGGGAAGGATTGAAGGCAGGAAGAGAAGGGGATGACAGAGGATGAGATGGTTGGATGGCATCACCAATTCAATGGACACGAACTTGGACAAACTCCAAGAGATGGTGATGGACAGGCAAGTCTGGCATGCTACAGTCCATGGGATCACAAAGAGTCAGACACAAGTTGGTGACTGAACAAACAAGGAAATAATAGCCAGGTATTATTAAAAATTAAATTGTATATGTTTACCATTAATTATACGAAACTGAAATATTTGAAAATCACTTCCTAATTAACTTAGTGCATTTTACTATTATCTGTTCCTGAAGTTACTGATGTCCTAAAGTTATTTAAGTTATTCTGTCTGCAGGACAGAAATGCTATATGACCCATGCTACTGAGTGTCTCTACCCAATTCCACATTCACTGCCTTCATTTTGGTAGCTTGAGTATTCAGACTGCAGAAATCAGTAAATGGTTTGCTAGTTGTCAACTTGATTTATTATTCTGTCGATTGTCTAGACTTAAAGAAGTGATGGAGAACATGTAAATAATGCAGATGAAATTTGTGTGTTGTGTCTGAAAGTACTGAATTTCGATAGCACAAAAATTTGAGGAAATATCTTTCCAGTGTTTCAAAACTATTATCCAAGTTAGCAAAGAAGTTGCTTCCAGTTAAGAATGACGTTTCTTGTTTATTTCACCTTTGTTTTTTTGTTGAGGTAAACAAAAATATCAACCAACATTCATGTCATGCTACACTTATTTATCAGTTACAATCGCAGATTGATGAGGGACACCAGAGTGCTCTAAAAATCAGTGAAAACATTCTGCAGGAATCAATTTGTTATATGGAATTTATGATAAGGAGTATGGTATATGTCATTATTTTTTGTAATAAAAATGTAAAACTGCCCCAATGTAGCTGCCATATAAACAAATACACTTTTATATTAACAGTTTAAGGCTAATAAAAAGACCTGCAGTCCTCGTTTTATTTTTGACATCCTTCTGTTGAAAATAGTGGGAAATATAAGCTGTAGGAAAGAATATATACATGCATATATATTTTTTGTACCTACCTATAAGTGTATGTGATTAATAAAATCATTTTTACCTTGAAGTTTTAAAATTGCCCATAAACATTTTCTCTAAAATTGGCACAATACAGAAGAAATTGCTCCTCACTGCAGTAAAATGATGGTTTAGATTTTTCTTTTAACCACAGCCCCCTCTGACAGGCTAAACACTTCCAGAATTATCTATCTCGCCTGTTACCGATTTTCAGTGAAAATGGGACTCAGGGTTATCAGAGAACTGGAGGGAAGAACGTTCCGTTTTAGCCTCGCTTACTGATTTCAGTAGACTAATAGATGCTTGTCACCAGCTGTACAAACGCACAGCGGTGGGATGCCCAGTTCTCAGTCCGCTGCCCTTGAGCCTTGAGTCCGGAGAAGCGGGAATTTTTTCGACTTCCCGGCAGGTGGCACTGCCTAAGGATGACGGGCACAGACTGGTCTCCAAGGCTGCTCCTGGCAGGATGCCCTGCTCTGCCCTCCCCTGCCCTGCTCTGCCCACCTCTGCCCTCTGCCCTCCTCTGAACTCCTCTGCCCTCCTCAGTCCTCCTCTGCCAACCTCTGCCCTGCTCTGCCCACCTCTGCCTGCCTCTGCCCACTTGTGCCGTGCTCTGCCAGCCCCTGCCCTTCTCTGCCCAGCTCGGCCAACCTGTCCACCTTTCTGCCCACTTGTGCTCTGCTCTACCAACCTCTGCCCTTTTCTGCCCACTTGTGCCCTGCTCTGCCAACCTCTGCCCACTTGTGCCCTGCTCTGCCAACCTCTGCCCACTTGTGCCGTGCTCTGCCAGCCTCTTCCCTGCTCTGCCCAGCTCTGCTCAACTCTGCCTTCTTTTGCCCATTTGTGTGCCCTGCTCTGCCAACCTCTGCCCAGCTCTGCCCACTTCTGCCCACTTGTGCGCTGCTCTGCCCACCTCTGCCCTCTTCTTCCCATTTGTGTGCCACTCTGCCAACCTCTGCCCAGCTCTGCCCGCTTCTGCCCACTTGGTCCCTGCTCTGCCCACCTCTGCCCTCTTCTGCCCATTTGTGCCCTGCTCTGCCCAGCTCTGCCCACTTCTGCCCTGCTCTGTCCACCTCTGCCCAGCTCTGCCCACTTCTGCCCACCTGTGCCCTACTCTGCCAACCTCTGCCCAGCTCTGCCCGCTTGGGGCCTGCTCTGCCCATCTCTGCCCTCTTCTGCCCATTTGTGCCCTGCTCTGCCAAACTCTGCCCAGCTCTACCCTCTTATGCCCACTTGCTCCCTGCTCTGCCAACCTCTGCCCTCCTCTGCCAGCCTCTGCCTGCTTCTGCCCACTTTTGCCCTGCTCTGCAAACCTCTGCCCACTTCTGCCCACTTGTGCCCTGCCCTGCCAAACTCTGCCCAGCTCTACCCTCTTATGCCCACTTGTGCCCTGCTCTGCCAACCTCTGCCCTGCTCGTCTCACCTCTGGCCTCCTCTGGCCACATGTGCCGTGCTCTGCCAGCCTCTGCCCTGCTCTGCCCAACTCTGCCTTCTTTTTGCCCACTTGTGCCCTGCTATGCCTACCTCTGCCAACTTCTGCCCAGCTCTGCCAACCTGTGCCCGCTTGTTCCCTGCTCAGCCAACCTCTGCCCTGCTCTGCCCACCTCTGCATTGCCCTGCCCTCCTATTCCCTCCTCTGCTCTGCTCTGCCCCCCTCTGCCTGCCCTGCCCTCCTATTCCCTGCTCTGCCCTCCTCTGCCCTTCTCTGCCCACCTCTACCCTGCTCTGCCCAGCTCTGCCATCCTCTGCCCTGCTCTACCCACTTTTGCCCTCCTCTGCCCTCTTCTGCCCTGCTCTGCCCTCCCCAGCCTTCCTTTACTCTTCTCTACACTGCTCTGCCCACCTCTGCAATCTTCTGCCCACTTGATCTTCTCTGCCAACCTCTGCCCTGCTCTGCCCAGATCTGCCCTCTTCTGCCCACTTGTGCCCTGTTCTGCCAAGCTCCGCCCAGATCTGCCCACGTCTGCCCTCTTCTGCCCACTTGTTCCCCTCTCTGCCAACCTCTACCCTGCTCTGCCCACTTGTGCCATGCTCTTCCCACCTCTGCCGTCTCTGCCATCCTCTACCCACCTCTGCTCTCTTCTGCCCACTTGTGCCCCACTCTGCCAAC